TTGACGATTCCTGAGGATTAACATGTTGTTACTTGGTGGTTGATGAATGATATGTTCTGATGTAGAGTTCTGAACGGGACGCATTTGCATCATGGTTTCCATTGCTAGTAGCCATCTATTAAATAATATCAAGTTAATCGTCAGACATCGTCGAGACATTCACATTAAGAGTCGACATGTCAACAGAAGCCAGACATCTTGGTCTGATATGATCAACCAACGCGAAGTTAAAAATTAACTTATACTAATAACAATTGATAGTCGTTGCAGAAGAGTTGGCTCCCGTGGCTTAATGGATAACACGGAATTTGAAACGATGTTTGTTGGATTCTGGTTTCAGTGGGATCACCACCGCTCATTAGAAATAGCAGGTAAATCCAAATGAAGAGTTCCTAATAGGATGAAACCTGACTCCTGGATTCCACTGCTAGTTGCTACCCATCAAATAATAAGAAAGATAAAGTTTGATATGCTTATACCACAAGAAATATATGTTTAGATGATTATATTGTAGGGCACTAGTTTTCACTAACTGGTTCACTAAATGTCTCACATTCAGTAAGCCTAATAAATAACTGAGAAATCAAATGAGTTAAGGGATATAATTTATCAGAAACAATAGAAATCTGGCTAAACAGTGGTTGAGTAACCCTCATTAACAAACTTGAAATCGACTTTATTTGACAGTCGGCATAATCGAGAGGAAAATATGTCAAATGCATTAGAAAGTGCATTTTTATCTCGGTGTCTATTCCAAGTAGTCTGTGGGAATCAAATGAGTACTAGAAAAATAATACAAATTATTGATTAAAATAATCTAGATAAGAGATTTATCATACTGTTATACAGAAAAGTAGATCTTTTATTCTGACCATGTGACTTTTTCTTTATTTGATTATCAATTATCCTGGTGGCATTATCAGTTAAGTAATTATGTTATAACAAACTAGTTTTTTTAATAAGTATAATGAAGTCTACATAATGATCTACCACATACAGATTTATGTGTATTCTCTCTTCATTACTGTTAAGTTTGTGGGAGTCTTCAAATCGTTCTTAAATTAAAGACAGTATGATTATTATTCAAAAGCAAGGGTTTGTAAGGGTTATGATTGATTTCATTGTAAATATGATCACAGAGCGATATCAGTCAGAGAACCGTAGTAACCCAAGCAGTGCCAAACAGCTACCTTATACCAAGACAGTTGAGGCTGATGTGAAGACACTACTAGGGAAAGAATTTTAACTAATGGTCCCTACATTACTGATCTAGTGTTTCGAACTTTTCAATGCTGTTATGGTTGTTATTAGTTATTATTTGTTCCTTGCAATCCAAGTAGAGTATAAGGCTTTAGCAGAACATCTCCCGTGTACTCGATTTTCTGTTATCGTTTTTAGTTGACCCCACGACTGTCTACAAGCTCTCATTTTCTCCTTGTATTATCTCGTCAATGTCACCCTCAGATCCACGCCCAGCTCATCACTTTCCATGGAAGTTACACTCAAAGACATGGTATGCAACGTAATCCAGTGGTACCATCAATGTATGTCCTGTTTGTCTCCATTCCTCTCTCCATAAATTTGAGGAAATAAGTTGTTACCTAGCATACTGCTTGCCAGAGTTACTTTTTGTTTAACCCTTGCTGTCGGCCATCTGTTTTTCATTGTTGAGACAGCCTGTTATAAATTCTTGCGATTGGGTGCACGAAAAGTCTTTGAACTATACAGAAGCACTGGCTTGAAACTAATGCCAAGTGCTGAAGATCTCAGTACTGACTTCAAGCTAACAAATACCGGGTTCCGATACTGTATTTAAAACTATGCTACCCAGTTATATGTGCGTCGATGGTCCAGTGGTAGAACGCTAGCCAGCCACACATGTTGCCTGGAGTTCGATCACTGGCCGACACAATCATAGATCTCGCTAGGCGAGTAAAGAGAAAAAGTTGAGCTTGGGGCTAGCAACCCCACCGTGTAAAAATAAGCACCACTGCTACTAAAACTTCAAAGCTCTAGCTTAAAACTCTATGTTCCACCAGGAACGTAAACGAATAAATATCCAGTTATATGAGTGAATGAAACAACTTTCTTTAGATTCCTCCCGTTGACGGTGACTTCTGTTTGTTGCTGTCAGTCGGGTACCTCCATCACCTCTGTCTTCTCTTTGTTCACCTGAATTCCTTTCTGCACTACATTTTACAACAACTTGTTAGTTTCTGCTTATAGATCCTCAAGTTTTTGAGACGTTTGATAAGTCATAAGGGAAATATATATATACATATATCTTCAGGGTCCTTTCATTGGTCCAGCGCTTGCCTGTCTTCTGGCTTCCAGCGATCTGTTATGTGATTCAGTCGGCCACAATTAGGAAGATTATGAGTCACAGTAGGCAACTTTGTCTTACTCCTGGCTTCACTCAAAAGACTTCAGGTGTCTTTCGGCTGTAAATTGCTAGGCACGCTCTGTCATCATCATCATCATCATATAGCTATTGCACGCGATTTCTAAATGTTTGCTACACTGCATACTATGGTGTTGAATTAGTTGGCAAGTTATACTGCAGTTAACACTGTTAATGGTTTTTTCAAAGTCAATGAAAAGAGATCTGTGTGCCACTTTTGCATCTGTTCAACAGTGAATCTCAATGCTAAGATGAAATCTGCTCACGATTGGTTCTTCTTAAATTCACTCTTTTCAGGGCGTGGTTTTCTATTGGAGTTACTTTTTGTTCTCTTCAGGATGATGTGGTTAAATATCTTACTTTATACGGATTGGTGCAAAGGCTTAAGAAGTCCCTCAATAGATTTTAGACAAGAAGACCTCTCTTCAACTCGGCAGGTACCTACCTTTCCTTTCAAACCTTCAGCACTTATGGTGCGAGGATGTACGCCGAGGTCTCTAGGTCCATTTTCAGTGCTTCTCAGAGGACTCTGTTTGATCTTGCTGCCTCATTGGATCTAAGTCATCACATGAAGCCCTAAAATTATGTTTTCAAGTATTAGGTTTGTAGGTATTTTGTTATGATTGGGTGGAAGATTTCACCGTGAGCTGACAACAGTTAAAGGACCATTGGGAAAACTGAGAGTAACGGACAGCCAGCCGCTCCGACCTAGTTTTGGACTCTTCATCAGTATGCACCCACCACAGGGGTTCGAACCTAGGGCCTTTTGGTTACAAGGCGAGCACGTAGGCCATTAAGCCACTTGGATCTAATCAAATGGTTCATTAACTCCAACTTCTGTCAGTTCACGACATAGTGCGACCACTTATCACCTCTTCTTCTATTTGTTACTGCCTCATCTTCAACCTGTTGTACACTAATGGCCACGGCTTCCCACTATGTTATGAAGTAGCAGAAGGGATAATTCATGAGCCGCTGGATCGGGTCCCAATGGTCTCATTGTCTACGAGGTCGCCTTATGACCAGAAATTCCTGGGTTCGAGCATCGGAGGGTGTGTACTGATGAAGAGTTCCAAACTACGACGGAGCGGCTGAGTATCCAGTACTCCCAATTTTTCCAGTGGTTCTCTAGTCGGCATCAGCTCATGATGAAATCCTCCAACCAATAATGCTTTTGTTGAGGAAGTGCTGTTCACTAGTAGTTATGTATCTGTTGGTGATATTTCTGCATTGTGACGACACACTTTAATTTTACTTCAAACAACTGGCTGCTATACGAAAGGATGTTACTTAACCATTTTCTTTCATCATTATTATTATCACAGCTGTTACCTGACCAGGTCTTTCAATCCTTAACTGGTTAATTTGACGTAAATATTGCATACAGCCTTTTTCAAGAACGTTGTTCCAATTGTTATGTATGCATGCCGCTAAGCATTAAGCGAAATGTCTAATAACAGAAAGATTGAAACCATTGGCTTAGTTGTACCCATAACTGGCTGATTGATGATTCAGTTACTTCAGTATCTTAAGTTTTTGCTAAAATTTCAATCATCTCATTAAAATAATAAATTAAAGAGACCACTTTTTACAGTTATACAATGTTTTCATGAACGGGCTCCTAATAAGAAAGATTTTAAAAGTTTCAAAATGATGAATCAAATAAAGTGGCGTTTGATATTAGGTTTTAGGTTAAATACTTCTAGTAAACGTTTTTAGGATATTAAACGGTTAGAGACAATCGGCGGTAAGTCTTGGACTTAGGTTTCGTCCTTGTTCACACTCATCATCAGGGCATATATGCAATCTTGAGGGAATTCACATCCCTTTTGAAATTCAAACTCATGTCACTAAGTGCTGCAGTCAAAGGTGTTACTACTGAGGCATTCGTGCTTGCGACTGATCTTGTGTAGGACTGCATTTGATACTTTGATTAGACACTAGGTATTAATTGATGACAGCCATCTAGTCCTTTTCTTGAAAGAGACTGAATTCTATCAGTCAAATTTTCAATGTGGCCACCACACTAGGTTGCTTGTCATCGTGGTATACACTGAATTGTTTTTATTCTCACATGGCCTAAGAGCTAAGTCGTGACGTCTGTGTCTTCAGTAATGGGTGACAAGGTTTCGAATTTCATGAGGGATGTGAGTTCCTTCAAGATCTCATATATACCTTGCTGACGACTGTTAACAAGCGCGAAACTTAAATTCGAAGCTACCTTCTGATTGCCTTCAGTCATCTCATAAAAACAATTCAGGGTACATCGTGATGATGAGCCACCTGAGATGGTGTTCACATTGTAAACTTGACTGACAGATTTCAGTCTTGACCAAACAAGTGTCTGAATGAGTGGCGTTCGTCACTATCTAGTGCTCAAATGAAGTTCTTAAGATATTTCAAATGTGATGTGGAATTTACTTGATCACTATATCATTTACCTGACAGTAGTTTTATTTACTTTAATGTTTATTAACCAAAGAAAATCAATGCTGGTGTTGCTTATATATATGTATATACGAATGCTTTCTCGTTTTCATTATTTCTAACTTAAAACATCGTACTTAATGTATTTTTATGCTACCATTTACTTTCCTAGAATGATGCTTATGGAAGAGATTTGTACATGTTGAATCGATGTCTCGAAGATATTGAATATTTCGAGAGAAACTTGAGAAAGTTTCTGAGATCGTTAGATCGTCAAGGTGCAGAAAAAAGCAGTAAGTATTATATATATATATGTATATATATATATATATATATATATTATTCCCAGTAATTCCTAGAGGAACATAGAGCTTCAGTCGCGCGTCTCCATTGCGTTCAGTTTTCTGCCAACTTTTTCACTCCCCTCCAAGTCTGCCCACACGCTTTCATCTCCTCCTCATATTACCTCCTCTAAGTCACCCTTGCTTTGACGACCAACTCGCCGCTTCCCTTTCGGGTTCCATCAGTGCAATGGCTTGTCTAGTGATGTCACTTGATGGTTTCCTCAGAGCATGGCCAATCCACCTCCATTTCTTCCTACATATTTGTTGCACAATCGATTCCTGCTGTATTGGTTCGCTCATTGCCAGAGATCCCTGCCTGTTGCTGATCTTTTCTGGCCAGCCATCTGATCTTGAGTAGTATTGAGCGAAGACAACTGTTGATGAAGGTCTGTAGTTTGTTTCAGGTACTCTTCATGACGCGCCTAGTCTCCAATCCGTATAGTAGCACTGAGTGACTTCACATTGGATTTGAAAATCCGAATCTTATTTTTGATGGTGAGTGCTGTTGACCTCCACACAGACTTGAGAGTAATGAAAGCTTGTCTTGCTTTCCCGATTCTTTCCTTGATATCCTCGTCAGTCCCTTCGCCTGTAGTTGAAACAATGCTTCCCAGGTGGGTAGGTAAAGGAGGTTGTTTCTATCAGGTTCCTCCCATTTATGCTGGCTGATTAGTGTCTGTTGTTGTTGCTGATGTTGGTGTTGACCAGGAATCTTGATCACCTTAGTTTTATCTATGTTCACCTGAAGTCCTATCTTCTCTGGATGCTTCTTCTGCCAGCTTGTTGCTTTTCACTTGGATATCCTCCAGTTTGTGGGAAATCAGACACATATCATCGGTGAAGTCCAGATCCTCCAAGTATTTTGTGTGGGCCCATTTTATGCCAGTTTCCTCATTTCCCACTGTCTGTCGCATTATCCAATCTACTGCGATCAGGAAGATCATTGGCAGTAGTAGGCAGCCTTGCCTTAATTCCGTCTTCATTTCAAAGGATTCCGTATATATATATATAACAAATATCATTATAAACTATTCAATTTCGTTTTTATATAAACTTTAAATGGATAAGCCTAAAAGAGGATAGGCTAAGTAAAATATGATAGATATTTTCATAAACACCAAATGTTAACTATAGTAAATGAACTGATTTTAAAACTTAATATCACTCGCAAGTCACATGTTTTAAGTCACAACAACTAAAAATATCTAATACACTTTTCATTTAATTTAGTTATTAACCAAATTTAATATCTAGGTATTAAATAATCGATTAAATCAAACCATTATTTAATTAGCACTAATAACTGCTCATCTCTTGATAGTAGTACTTATGAAGACGTAGTTAAATTCCTGGGCAGAAAGTGAAAAGACAAAAGTTACCAAGATATCCTAGCTTTCCTTTGAAGTGTCTTCTCAGCAGATTACGTGACCAGTAGACCTAGAGTATGGTAAAGGAGAAGAAAGACATATTTTCGAGGAAATCAAAGTTACGAATTATTTCACAGTTAATTTTCTTGACCGACAGAGTGTCAGCGTATCGCTAAAGTATTCAAACATATTAGGTTATGAGTAAACACCACTTTGGACATATTCATCTTAATGTATTTGAATAAAACTCACCAATACATCTTCTACTCGTCAATCGTTTTTGTCCATCAACTGAATAATTCTCAAACCCCTGAATTCTTTATTTCATTTAATTTATATATTATTTTGTGTAGCCAAGTTCCTAGGGTACTGTTTAACTAACCTAAAAGCTTCTTGTTTAACAAATTTGTCATCCATCCTGGATATTTTGCTTTCTCGACTATGGCTGCATATGCTGCTTACCTTTACCGAATATAATACTGATATCTGATTCAGTTATTGATTTACCGCAGACATTAACAATATACTACTTATTTCTGCACCAATTATAGTACTTCAGCAGTATCATATTCTGTTTTCACACAACTCCTTTGAGGAATTCATTTAGATTTAGGGTGTTACTATAATTGTTACTCAAAATGGCACTCAACAGCTTTATTGTTTGAAAGAAAATAATCAATATTTCAAATGCTTCAAGCTGACCTTGAGAAAACAAGTTTTTTGGCGGCAAAAAAAAGAAGGAATTAACTCCTTAATTAAGAATTCATAATAATAAGTGGAAGAAACCCTCAGTTCTGCAAGAATCTGAATTCAGCATAATTATCATTGAACATTTTGTAGCATTTGAAAATTGGTAATCAGATTTCACAGAATTACTGGATGAAGATAATATAAGAAATTAATAATCATCGTGCAGACAGTGTTCACATCTGTATATCTAGGCGGTGAAACACTTCTACATTGCAAATCTCAGGTCTGTAGTATTTTTGAATAGCTGTTTGCATAAAATTATGAATTTATAAAATAAGATGACTTAATCCCAGACTGTAAAGAATTAAATTTATTGACTATATCGTGAATAAAGATTACTCGATACAGTCATATGCTGTTCAATCGACACTGTGCAAACAAACGGTTAAAGATAAATTTCAATGGTAAATCAAACACTGTCTATGTTTTATTCTGGTTACATTTAGTGGGTTCATTATTAGTAGTTTTGTTCTTTGGGTTTCCAGTGGAATATATGGCTTCAACAATACATTCATCCTGTTCTCTGAAGTCCTCATTAGCTGACTGAACGACTGAACATAAGCTTTTGTCCACTTCTCATGCAATCGCCTCCATGTTACACTCGGACCGACTCCCATCTGGCTTCCATTCGACAATCTAACTCCTGATTTCCCTCGGAGTTCTTCTGTGCGTGTCCGATCCATCAGTATTTTCTTCGGAATAATAGTTAGACAATAGATTCTGAAGTTGGCTCGTTAGCACAGTTCTTTGCTGATAATTCTTTCGGTATGGCCTTCTAATCTTCAGTATCTAGTGAAGGCAGCTGTAGATGAACGCCTGTGATAGCTAGCTTGAAATTGCTTTGGTAACAAACCAAGTCTTTGAACCGTACAACAGCATTAATAAACTGACTTGACATTAATGTTAGAAGTCCAGATCTTGCAACATTCTCTCGTCAGTTCAATGTGTGCCTGTATTCTCTCTCCTCGTGATCCCGTACACTACAATCAGGACAGAATAGTTACAGAAAGGGTTGTGGAGTGAAATAATTTAAAACGAAATTCTTATTTGATTTCATTCAATTAAAGTATATAACTCTAAGTTTTGTTGTCTGCTGTAAATGTATTCATCATGTATTTCTATTTTTACTTTCTCTGTTTCAGCTAGTGATACTAAAAATAACGACAGTCAACCACCGAGTGCTCCAGACACTATCGATGCATTGCAGAAAGTTAAATTTGCATTAAATATTACTGAAAAAATTAGAAAATCACTTCCATACTTATCGAAAGAAGTTTTCGTCTATTTAATAAGACTTGTTCGAAAAGTGCATAATTCGGCGAAAGATAAACTTGTACCCAATTATAATCCAAATATAGTAGTGGATGTTATTGAACCCTTGCTGCTTGAATCAACTATCACATCATTATTTAAACTTTTCTCAGTGAAAACAAAAGAATTTTGGTTAGAACTTGGTCCTTCATGGAATACACCCAGGTAAGTGAATAGAGAGACTTAGCAAAATACTGCTAACATATTCCCTACTAAACAGTTTTAAAAACCATACTTTGTGCATTTTATTTTTATTTGTTTTAAACTTAATTATTAGAATCACTGAAAGCTGGAAATGTAGCATTATTGAACTGATTAAAAGAAGAACAAGCTTGTTAAGCTACTAAAGAAGGATGCTTTAAGCCTTTGCAAAATCTGGCATGGAATCATGCTGTTATCCACTCCAAGTAAATAATAAGTGGCGCCATCCAGAAAAGACTAAAAGATACAATGGATGAGAAACTGTCCGCCTATAACAAGCTTGGATTCATAGAAGGACAAATCATTTGCAAACTAAATTACATCTCTATGCATCATTGTAGGAAACAGAAAAAGAGATCAGTGGTGAAACCTCTACCCCAAAAGTATTGACTATGAAAATGTTTTCGACAGTGTTGACCGTAAAATAATTTGAAAAGTACTTCAGCACTTTGGCATGGTGTTTTCCACATCTTTACCGTCTTCACACAACAGTGGTATGATAATGCCATATGTCACGTGATCCAAAAAGGAAAACTTGGTGAGACGTTTGAATTGAATACAGGAGTTAGACGAGGCAGCCTATTATCACTGATGGTATACCTAACTGTGGTGGATTGGATTATTCGTCAGACTGTGGGCAGCGAGAAGATAGGAATACATTGGACCAGTAAGGAGACTAGAAGATTTGGACTATGCGGACGATTTATTTCTAGTGTCATACGAACGTAAAGACCCACAGGTGAAAATCAACAAGTTGGTAGAAGAGACAGGCAGTAAAGACAGGACTTCAAGAGAACATAGATAAGATGGAGGTGATTAAGACGACTAACCAACTACAGCAAGCGCTAATCACCATCAATGGGAGAAATGTGAAGGATTTCAGTTGTTTCATATATCTAGAAAGCATCGTTTCAACCTCAGGCCAGGGCAAAAATGAAGATGCCAAAGCCAATCAAGATAGAAGAGGCAATACATGACTTCACCAGTCTGAAATGAGTCCGAAAATCTGCTGCACTCAATATAGAGAACAAGATTTGGAATTTAACACTAATCTCTAGTCAGCGATTCTGTGTGGTTCAGAGTCTTGGCGTATCACCAAAGGCATATCAAATACAGTACAGACTGCCACCGCTACCCGAATACTGAAGATCAGATATCCAGAAAGGATTAGCAAGAAAGAAATATGCCAGACAACGAACCAACCAATAAACTACTGCCCAAAAAATACACGGGAGGAAATAGGGATAGATCGGATATACGCTAGAGTAACTACACTAAAGAATGACAGTATGACTAGTTGTGTCCATAGTCGGAATATAACAGTGACCTAAGCATTCTCCCATGTGTTTACACTAAAAAAAGTTTTTTAACTCTAATTATAAAAAGGAGACAGAAGACTACTTCCTTGAATAAGTTCTCTTTCTGGTATAAAAAAGTTTAATTTTGTCTCTGGCCTTAATGCAGAATATCCCATGTTTTATTTAGAAATATTAGCGATTCATAGCATTTCGAGTAACATGTAATGCAAACCTTAAGATATACTTATGAAATGTATAGTTATTTCTCTGTCTTCTGTTCTTGTAATCATTGGTGACTGAGGCTGAAATGAAGGTTCGGGTAAAGTGAAGATTCTAGCCAACAGTCTCCGAATTACCAACAAAGGGCTGTAAGGAATGAGCTATGAAATGCGACTAACAGAGTTATTATTTTACTTCAGGTGTCACGAGGGACTCTCCTTCTTAATAAATTACTGAAAAAGAAATAAAAATCTAATCAAATAGCTAAACAACAAATAAAAGTTTCATACATTTATTCCCCTTAATAAATTTGAATAAAGCAAGAACAACAGCTCTTCAGAATAAAATGATACCATCATATATTTCATTGGCTTCTTTTTAGCTGCCTACAGCTCAACAACATTATCAAGTATATCTTCAGAGACAATCCTAACATACTTGCACAGAGTTCACTTATAAACAAAAATCAATCAATATATGTATATAATGCTAATAATAGTAATAATAATAATAAGCACTTTATCCCTAACAATAATGACCATACAAAATGGAAACTTTCTGCACTACGTAACCAGATGAAAGAGAGGTGGAAATATGTATTTACCAGGATAAAGAAAGACTGATAACTGTTTCTTTCTGAACGCATAAATTAGGTTTCAAGCGCTTCAGAAAACTTGAGGAGAATTTAAATCTGTAGTCTACTTGTAATTTTGAACGATCTTGTGACGTCCACCTTATAACCCGTGTCAAAAAGGTGTCGGCCGATGGCACTATTCAAAGCATTTGTTTCATTCTGACACAGGATTTCTAGTACATGTTCAGAATATTGGAGGTATACCCTTCTTTTTGTTCTTCCAATGTAACTGCTCCCGCAGATACATGTAAATTTGTAAATACAGTTGGAGTTAACATGAGAAAGATATCCATCAATTTTTATTGCACCAAAGAGCAAGTTGTTCGATAGATGGGGACGAGCTCAGCTGCAGGATAGGCTCTGGCTAGTGACATACTCAGTCTTCTGTTGTTCATTGCTGCAATGTTTTCACCTTTATAATAATAATTTTTCCTTCACGTTCCCCAGTGGGACATAGGGCTTCAAGCTGGAGGCTTGAAGTTTCTGTAGCAGTGTTTATTTTTACAGGATAGGGTTGCTAGCCTCATGCCCAACCTTTCCTCTTTACCAACTTTATTTCTGGTTTAGCGAGGTAAAGGAGTGCGTCGGCCGGGAATCCAACCCCGGACCATGTGCATGGTCGGCAAGTTGAATGTAGATGGGCTTTTTCCCCACTGTGAATTGTTTGACATTTCAGACTTCAGATCTTCCGTACGTGTCAATGAAACTTTGATGGTAACCATTGCTTTTCAACATCTTTATAAGAAACACAAATTCTTCCTCTGATTTCTCTACAGAGCATAATCTCCTAACACTATACAATAGGATTTTGACTGGTGCACGTTTAAAGCTATTTGGACAAAATCTATTAAAATGTAGGTATTGTACTTTCCAAGTAGGCTTTCGGCAGACTGACTTCTGGAGACTACCATTTTCTAAGCGTTACATGGCGGTGTCAAGGAAGTGGAACATTCCATCATTTTTATGTTCCACAGTAAATTCAATATTGGTATGTGCGTCATTGAATAATCTGAGTAGGTGGAAGCATGACTTTCGTTTTTGCACACTACAAATGTGTAACCGACATATCGACAGTTAGAAGTTGTCTCGTCGATTGCACGCTTCAACTTTGTTCTTTCAAGGTTAGACATGAACATATCTGCTCATCCTCTCTTTCGAATCATTACGTAATCCAGAAAGTTTCCTTTGTGTATGGTCATTATTGTTAGGGGTAAAGTGCTTATTATTATAACTATTATTAGCATTATATGCATATATTAATTTTTTTCCTTCACGTTCCCCAGTGGGACATAGGGCTTCTAGCTAGAGGCTTGAAGTTTCTGTAGCAGTGTTTATTTTTGCAGGAAAAGGTTGGTAGCCTCATGCCCAACGAACTTCTTTACCAGCGGTATTCTGGTTTAGCGAGGTAAAGGAGTGCGCTGGCGGCCGGGGATCGAACCCCGGACCATGTGCATGGTTGGCGAGCGTCCTAACCTCTATGCCACTGACGCACCATATATTAATTGATTTTTGTTTATAAGTGAACTCTGTGCAAGTATATCAAGTTTCAAGTGTTGGTTTGCAGGGATTTGATTGGTTTCAGGATTTCATCATGTTTCTGTAGATATACTTGATAATGTTGTTGAGCTGTAAGCAGTTGATGAGACCCAAATAAATACATGATGGTACCATTCAATTCTGAAGAGCTGTTGTTCTTGCTCTATTCAAAGACAAATAAAAGCTTCAATAGCTATAACTAACGCAAATCAATATTTGTTACTAATTGGGTAGACTGTGTTCACCCAAACACTGGACTGATGTTTCGTCATTACTGGGCACAACTGATACTCTGTATCGCATTGTTTATATATATGCAATAAGGAAAGCACTTACAGTGTTAACTCGGTCAGACACTTTCATCTGGATGTTCCTTGTTTTCAAATGAAATAATGTCATCATTTTACTTTGGTTGTTGGTGTCTAGAAGTGGAGTCCAAGACGTACATTTCGTCCTATTTAGGTCTTCTTAGCTATATATATCTGCATCTTCAGTTAGTGATATTATTATTTCCAAGACTTAAGCCCTGAACCCAACGTTTGAGATGTCAAGGCGTTATGCACTTGACCACTTTATATGCCAACGAAGGCCGAGAACTTCTTTTTCTTCCTTCACGTTCCCAGTGGAACATAGGGCTTCAAGTTTCTGTAGCAGTGTTTATTTTACAGGATAGGGTTGCTAGCTTCAAGATCAACCTTTCCTCTTTACCAGCATTATTTCTGGCTTATCGAGGTAAAGGAGTGCGTCGGCCGGGGATCGAACCTCGGACCATATACGTGGTCGCAGAGCATTCTACCATTGTGCCACCGACGCCCTTCAGCTCAATATAATTATTTGACAGTATATAAAAATTAAGCAAGAAACAAATAACAGTGAAATCATTGTTTCATCTTCTAGCTAGTTGTGTCAACCACACATATGACTACAAATTTCGTAAATCTAATTTTTGAAGAAACGGATACTATAATCTGAAAGCAGATTACAACCTGGTGAAGAAAAACTTCTGTCAACATTCACTAGACCAATAATAACCACATGTAAATGAGGACACAGTCTATTCTACATAACAAGGGAGTTTGTTTTATATAAAAAATGAGGAAGCATGAAACACGGCCACATAGTTAAGTCTAAATGCTTTGGACTGCAGCAAACAAATAGGCCAAAAGTCTTCAGGAACTGAGAGACAAAGGTTTTTCAGCAGACTATAGATTTTTATCAACGACTACCTTCGCTGCATATGGAAGAACAAATGGCTAGAAAGAATCCGTGACAAGAAACTCTTGGAACGAACCGATCAAGAACTTACTGCTCAAGTGTGTCGAGGAAAGTAGAAATGAATTAGGCACACACTGTGGAGATCATCGAATGACATCGCGCGCCAGGCCATTACTGAAGTGGGATCGCAATGGAAAACGACAAGTGGGTCATCCTAGGATGATATAGAGACATTTGCGTGGGGAAAAGATGAGAGATTATGGACAATCGTTGGCCCAGTTAAATAGGGCCGCAGAGAATAGGAGAAAGTGAAGATGTGTTGCTGAAGCCCCATTTTCCACTCGGAACCGAAGAGAATACTAATAAATAATAATAAACATAAACTGGACGTGATTTATCAACTGATATCATCACTGACGAAGTGAATAAAACATTTCTCGTCCTGAATGTCTGTAAATAATGTAAGACAATGATTACTGATTTAAGGATTAGTCATAAAAGGATCATAGTCGAAGATTTATTCTGTAATTTAAGTTGGAATACTAACGAGCAGCATACAGATAATTTTCTTGCTTTGTCTACTAAAAACAGGTTGTAACCAAGTGATGCATAAATCTACAGATAAATAAGCTAAAAGATTAGTTGACGCTATAAAACACTCAGCAGACTTTAATTCAAAGATAAGCACTGACTAACTAGATAATACAAACATCCGATCTCTATTCTTTTCGAAAGCCGACACCAACTGGATCCTAAATTTTCTCTTCTTTTTCCGTATTTCTAGTTCAAAATGGCCAAATTCACTAAAAACCTACATGCCGACATTCAGTCAACCGTACAAACGAAGGCGGACAACACATCGGTCGAGTGATGTGACCGGAAGACGGCAAATAGTAGGCACTTGTTAATAAATTTAATATAATTATTTTCAATACTTCAATGTTTTTGGTATCACATTTATATCATAGACTGTATTTTTGTTTTAAGCCAAGGGAATTCTCGACTGAGGACAAATAGTTCACTTTTAATGGCTTTAATCTAAGAGCAGAAATCGGGCACCATGATAGGTTTATTTAATAAAAAAAGAGTGATACAGGACTAATAATTGGATGTCATAACTGCATGCTTGCGACTTGATAAATATTAATTTAATTATTAAAACTTAAACTTAGGTGCATAGAGGTGCTGCACACAAAGTCTCATAGTTAATAAGAGCGCTGGGAGGCTACTCGGATGCCCAGACCGAAGTAAGTGGGTTCCTTGATGGGCTAACCATTGAGCCACTGATTTTAAGTCTGATCCACAAAGTAGTGGAGAAGCGTCAGCAGCCGCATTTCCATGGTTTACGGTGGCCAAAACAATGGCCACAATCCGTTAAATCCATTCGGGTTCTGTAGTTTACGTACAATGCAGGCTTGGAATAAAGGTTTTCCGGCTCTCCTAGGTAGACCAGCATGTCTGACAGTCTGGTTGTGAGCGCAAGACGTTTCGATTTGCCCTTCCGCTTGTGTGAAGAATATTATTTCCGCATGGAAAGGATTTACCTGGTAGAGGCTATGAACTCGTCGCCATATGATTTAATAATATATTGATGTGATTAAGAGTGGTAAATTGTGCTCAAAACGTGTACAATGTATCAGATTATGCTATATCATATAAACTTATCTAATACGGAATGGTTAGGACGCTCACCAACCATGCATATCGTCCGGGGTACGATCCCGGGCCGAAGCACTTCTCCACTCTCGCTGAGCTAGAAATAAAGCTGGTAAAGAGGAAAGGTTGGACATGAGGCTAGCAACTCCATCCTGCAAAAATAAACACTGCTACAGAAACTTCAAGCCTCTAGCTTGAAGCCCTATGTTCCACTGGGAACGTGAAGGAATAGAAAAATATGTATGAAATTGTAATTATTTTGTCATTTATAATGTGAATAAATATGGTACCCACGCAAAGTGACTTTACTTTAAGGCCAATGACTAACTTAAATGACAGTAGTATCGAAAAAATATAATGTTTGACTTAAATACAACTCAGAAATGTTTTGTATTTTGATTAAAATGCAAAAGTACAAATTCAAATTAAACGATTGAACACTGATCAAACCACCCAAGGTTGCTTTTTGTTTAACATACGACTTTAATTGATAATTTGATTTATTCGACATTTAGATTTAGGAGAAAAGAGCATTTGCTTACAATTCTAAAACGTTCATTTAGTCTTCTAAAGTTCAACTTGTTTAAATTCACTGTACAACTTCAATATTTTTTTTGAAATAGCTGACTCTTTTTGACTCCATTGTTGTTTCTGTTTAAGTGAACAGAAGTAACCATTGATTGCATTTCTTCCACTTGTATTCTTATGGGACTGTTTAAGTTATTATATCTGTTATTTTTTCTAATGAATATGAAGCTATTTACATTGCGATACAAGGGCACTAGGAATCTGCCTCATTCTAGTCAATCTCTGACAACTTGTAATGAACATAAGCTGTAAGTATTTAAAAAAATGAAAACGTCAGCATGAATGCGTGAAAAGATGGCAAACAAACTCATTGCTTAACTGCATCGACAGACGTTGATACTGAGATGAAATGGTTGACGATGTAAGAAACAGCCGCCTAAATTGCTTTTCATTCATTTGTGTCTTGACTAGAATATACGTCTTCAGGTTTCCTTGAAGTTTCAGTAGCGTTGACTTTGTTTTCTTGCAGAATGTGGTTGCCAACCTCACACCCAACATTCCAGCTTTTTGTAGGCCTACTTGGGGGTGCACCAACCGTGAATAGATCCACAGACTACATGTGTCGTTGGCAAGCATTCTACCATTCACTTACAGTCCAAATATTGTGTAGTAGTTCCACTTGAACTAATCAGTGCTAATCTGCCTTGAAATAAGCACTAGATAAATTTTAAGTGAAAATCTTATCTCAGCTATACAAACAGATACCAACGGTGTCACCACACATTGATAAACTTCCATGGCATTCACTGTCATCAGTAACTGTAATCACATTAAAACAATGAAATGAAGTGTCATGACATACAGACAAAATAAATATTATTGAGTTACAGTAATATTTCTTCAGAATTTTCAGGTTAGATGTTTGTTAAAACACTGATGTAAACTGAACAGTATTTGTTTTTTCCGTGAGTGGATTAGAAACTATTACATTATCCTCTCTCTGACTCATTTTTGACAGTGAAACTCTGAGCCACTTTTAGCTGATTTATCCACTTAATATCTTACTGTCATAGTCCTAGTGCTTAGTGTATTATATGCACAGTTTCTATTTTTGTAATAATGAAAGAGATCTGTGCCTTAGGTGGATGACATCAATGGTCATGTGTTCTCTTCGCTGAATAATTTAAATACGAAGCTTTAAATGAAGTTAGCGCTAAGGATGCTTCTTAGAAAGTTACTTAAAGATGCGCAACTGAACAAATCAGCCCGTAGAAAATGTTCAAGTGTTGATTTTCAGGTATGTGGGTGGTTTCAGGATTTCGTCATGAACTGACATCGATTAAAGAACCACTGGAAAAACTGGGAGTACTGGATAGCTGTTTTGTCCTAGTCTGTGACTCTTCAGTAGTTGGTACCCACTTGTGTTCGCACCTAGGACGCGGAAAATAGCAACACCAAAGACATTATCAATTTTTCAGTAGATTTTCATTTTCCGCTGATTTATTATTTTACACCCATATGCTTGGTGTCTTCTGGAATGTCGAAGATGCAAATCAACCTAAAAAACGATACCAGTTGCACAAGAGATAGGTGTCATGTCTCACTGACCTAGTGGATAACGCTTCAGAGTTTGGAACGATGGATGCAGAGTCCGAGTTCCAGTGGGAATAACATCTATGTCTATTCTAGTCTGTCACTGGGGATGCAGGTATATTCAGCTGATGAGCCTCGAATTTTACTATTTGTGCACCCTGGATTCCACTGCTGGTTATCATCAATCAAAATAATACCAATAAAGTTTAAATTTTATTTCATCTCCGATGAAGGTGTTTGGAAAAGAACTAACTCTTACTACTGTTTAAAAAAACTTTTGTAACCCTTTACTTTGCAAATTCTGCACTTAACTAATTTCGTGCTATTATGGGGGAGATTGAAGTAAATTTTAATCGACAGTTACACCCTTTTGAAAACTACTTGAAAAAACGAATTGCTCACTGTAGTCGAAGCTTCGTTACATGATCATCTGCATTCCATCTGCACTCAAGTGATTGTAAGTGATTTCTTTGTCATATAAAACCTCCCTACTGCTTTTCATTATTTATCACATCCTATAAAGGAAAAAAAACCTTATAACTTACTGTCAGTATAGGAAGTAACAGATAAAATGATGGATCATGAGCACTATTCATTAAGGTTGGAACCTTCTGTCAACTAAAATCATGTAAATTTTGCAAGCAGGCTAAAACTTTTCTGTACATAAAAACCTAATAATTTATTTAGGCTGGTCATAGATTGTGAGAAGCCAATGAAAAAAATGATGGTATTGTCTTATTCTGCACAAATTGCTATTCTTGCTTTATTCAAATTCATAAAGGGGAATAAATGTGGGAAATTATGAATTATTTATTTGATTGACTGATTCCTGTTTGTCTGGTTTCTTGTTCTTCATCTGCAAAGTCTGTATCTCTTTTTTGTTGGTTAATGTCACCCACAGATTGCTACAATTTGTCAGTGATAAGGACTGAGCCTTCTGAATATATATTTCAGTTATCCGGCATACACTAATCCTATGTTATAATAAAATGCATAGCGTACGGCTAATGCAAATATCATACTTTCACCTCTTAACTAAAATGTGATACTTAAGATATTTCCATCTTTTGTTATTTTACGATTTGGTATGGTTATAACTTAGTGACCCTCGGATGGTTCGACCTCAGACCAGATGATTAACACTTTTGATGTATACAGATTAGGATCCGAGATAAAATTATCTCACATAGGCTTCGTAGTTGTTAGTACTCATAGCAAAAGAATCCTCTTATTCCTATAGTTTTCAACTAGAAACAGGTTTATATCACAAGAAATGGAATTTAAACATCATGTAAATTAATTTCCTATAACTGAAAACAGTGATATAAACTATCTTACGAGATTGATCACATTCATATGCATTGTTGTTAGGGAAATAAACGCTTACCGTTAAAGTGTTTACATTTTCATTCAGACTAGATCAAAACATCTAAAAGCCACTTGAATGCTCTTTGTTTTCAAGTGAATTGCTATGATTTCTTTCAGCTAGTAGCACCTGTTCAGTCTGTAACGGTGAACGGTTGCAGTTTTTGAAACATACTGTCTTACCAAAGTGCTTCATTAGTTATTCTCACACAAATATGATTGCCTAGCTCTCTGTTTAAACAAGAAAGGTATCGATTTCGTTCCATTCTGAACTTATATACTTAAGAATGATCTTAGAACGATTCTCTAAACGTGCAGTAAACAAAGTTATGAATCACTTAATGGTAGAGTTGACATTAAAACATTAGATTCTCTAAAAGTACTACCACTTGCTAGGACATTGGGAGGCACACTAGACTGATAAACACTAAATGAATGAAACTCGCATCCACAATATCACCAATATCTAATGTCAAGCAATAGAAATGAACATAAATACAACTTTATATCTATTTCATATAGATCACTATATAATGAACATCACTTGTTAGATTTCGTCATGAACCAGCATCAACTAGAGACCACTGGAGACCAGAAAGCACCATACAGATGTGCCATCGTATGATGGAACTCTCCAGTAGTGCTCACTTTCGATCCCACAAGGGATCAAACTCGTGACTCTCAATTTTTCATGACCGAGATAGTTGACCATTCAGTCACTCGTTAATTCTAACTTTGTAGCTCTACTTGC